CTCATCCAGAGCTTCTCTCGAGAGACTGGTTTCCTAGGAGCTAGAAGACAAAGGCAATTAGAATTAGGTTTCTCAAAGAAGATAACGTCTTTAGCTAAATTCAGAGGCTCAGGTTCGCTAACCAAACTTGGCTAACACTGCGGCGTCGAAGGAAGGTCTGGCAGCTGCTTATAAAGGCCGGTCTCCTGATGAGCTGATGAACGTCAGCTGTGCTGGAGGGCTCCAGCCCAGGAGGATCCACAGCGCACTCTGCTGGAGAAGGTGGAGAATCTCCAGATCCCAACAAACCAGTGTTTTGAATTTTTTTCCACCCACAAACTTTGTCAGATGAATTGAATTTTAGGTTGTTAAGCAAGATTTTCTTGACTAACAGACTTTGAGTGTCTGAACAATGTCTTTGAAAAAAACGTTCTGACAGATTTTGCTGTAATGCACTAAAAGCTCTGTGAAGGACTGGCGTCCTTTCCAGGGTGCAACCCGCCACTTGCCCATAGACAACTGGAGATAGGCACCAACACCTCTTGTGACCCTTGGGATAAGCGTGAGAGAAAATGGATGGATGGATGGATGGATGGATGGATGGATGGATGGATGGATGGATGATGGATGGATGGATGGATGGATGGCACTAAAACCTTTGTGTTGCAAAGCTGTTTACATATTTTGTGGAAAATAGTGTGTTGATAGCTCTATGAAAGCACTTGGAGTGCTTTCAAAGATAATATATGCCTAATATGCCTTTATAACAACCCTCCCAAAAACACTAGTTCTTGTTAAGGTGAAGCAATATACAGCAAACATTCATTCTGATGGTGTTTACTTAGTCTTTTGAGCTTAAAAATAGTTTTTGAGTGGTTGAAATACATTGTTGTATGCATACACTCTACTTCTACTTTAGTGAACACAGAGATTTATATTGTGTCTTATACTTCTTGGCAGCTGATACTTTTTGCACTTTTTCACAGTTGATCTTTGCCTATTCCTCTTTCTTTTCACACTTATGCTGGTTAAATTTCTGATTTTATTGTACATTGTGATGTGCTCTTGATGTGATGAATACTGACAAAGCGTGCTAATAAAAGGACCACAATAAAGTGTAAAACACAGAAATAATGTAAAGTAGGCAAACGGGGTGCATTACCTCAATCAAGCAGAGTGAACAGGCAGCACAGACATTTGTAAAATCATATGTGGAAAGGCACCTTTAAAACTTTGGGTAGGTAGCTGGTCTGTTATGTGTCAAAGTTGCTGCTCCCAGATAATATTTTTTCCATATTACAGACCACCTATTGGACAAATAGCAAACTTCTTCAGTTTTTGAAGTCACTTTTGGGCTGGAAACTTTGCGGTAACTTATTTTCTGTTAGATTGGCTTCTTGGGTGCACCAATGCACACAATTTGATGATCCATACAAAATGTTGATGTCTTGGCTCATTTGAGTTATTTTTCTTTCTTCAATGTCCTTTTACTTATTTCTACACTTCAGTTAACAAAATCAGTATAAAGTAACTTTGGAGCTTTGAACCCAATGTAGTAAAGAAATATTATTGTTTTCTTTCCTTTTTTTTCTCCTCGATTTATAGTAATATAAATCGAGGAAAAAAATAAAATAAAAAATATATTACTAATTTACTATTTTGTTTTTGTCCAATAAAAGATGACATACAACTATAAAAAAAATTTCTATGAGGCAATAGTTGGAGACAAAGTTAGAAATACATTTTAATAAATCAAGATAGCAGCTTATCTTCAAATACGGGCAAAGAATTGAGGATAAAAATTTGATTAATTAAAGTTGCATGCAGTGTTTTAATGTTACAT